CGCTGCTGCGCCTCGGCTGGGGCCGGGCACGTGGTCGCGCGCGTGCGCCCCACCTTGGAGCTGGCAGAGAGCCGGCCTGTCCGGGGCGCGGTCCCGGCCCTGTGCGCCCCAGTCACCGCTCTGGGTCTCTCTCCGCAGCCTTACGACAGTCTGCCTACCTCACAGACCTGCTTCTTCCAGCTGCGGCTGCCCCCCTACTCCAGCCAGCTGGCCATGGCCGAGCGCCTGCGCTACGCCATCAACAACTGCCGCTCGATCGACATGGACAACTACATGCTCTCGAGGAACGTGGACAACGCCGAGGGCTCCGACACCGACTACTGATCTGCGGCGGCCACCGCCTCGCAGGAGCGTTCACTTGGAGTTGATGTTGATAGACTTTCATGGTAACTACATAGGTGTTTTAGCAACATAAACCGACAAGATAAACAGTACCTTAGTTACTCTAAAGGTAACAGAGAAAGTAGATGTTTTTATTTTTCTGTGATTGTACAAAAACAAAAGCAGAGTGCTCTCGGTCAGGTTTTTCCCTCCATATTTTTGGTCACTTTTGATAAGTTTGCATGGAACCATTTTGGTGCATTTTTAGTTGGGAATGACACATTTTTTGTAAACCCACCCAGTGAACACGGAATTGTACATTGTGTATAATTGTTCATTAGAAAGGACAGTTTTACATGAATATTCATATATTTATTTTGTTTTAATTTGAATTGCCTGTGCAGGGTCCCTTATGCAGAGAAATAAAGCAGATTCAGGAGTCAGAATGTGGGCGGCTGCTCTGTGGGTTCCCACGGCCAGGCCGATGCGCCCCCTAGGGACAGCCTTGCCCCACTCGGGTTGGGCCCTCCCGGTGAGGCCCAGCCTGGCGCCCGGCGCAGGTGCAGCGCCCGAGGCCAAAGGGGCACGGCCAGCACCGCACGGCGCCCTGCCTGAGAAGACCCCGGCAGGCGCGCTGAAGAGGGGGTGCAAGAGCGTGCCACCTCCGTCAGGGCTGTGAGTGGCAGGGGCAGGAAGCACAGTTGTCGCTGGTAGGCACACGAGGCGTACCTGGATTATCACCGAGGGTCGGCTTGTAGCGGTCGGGCCCTGCAGCCCCGATGGGGGCGCCGTGAGGGGCTGGGAGTGGCCGCTGCAGGGAGAGGGCCGCGGTGAGCCACTGTGAAGCTGCAGCCACCCCGTGAGAGCAGGAAAGGGACAAGGCCGTGACCAGTCCCTTCCACCCGCGCCAAGTCCGGGCCACGTGCTGTTCCCGGGGACCTCCGGACAAGGTCCTCGCTGACAGCCAGATGCACTGCCAGCTGCTCCCACAAGGAAAACCAGAAGGAGAACGGCTTTGCCAGTTGTTAGTACCGTGTGAACTGACCTTCCCGGCGCGAAGACACAGTAACGTTGAGAATGATGAGGTCTCTGTTGAACAGAAAAGGGTTCAGTGGGACTGGGCATCGGAGGACCCAGTGCCTTCGCGGTGACAGCGCGCGCCCAGGTCTGGGCCGCGAGCACTGGCTCCAGGGTGGGAAGGGGCTGCCCTGGCCCCGGCACCAGGACGCAGTTCTCTTAGTGGAGAGAGGGGTCCGTGCAGCTGGGGTCACACAGAGGTGCAGGAGAGGTCCCTCGGGTCTCCTGGGCTGCTTCCTAGTGACAAGCCACCCTCCCTCCTGCAGAGCGCTGAAGGACACAACATTCTTGAGCCTCTGAGGTGACACCAATCGTCTCAGAAGTCATGCCTCGGCCTCAGCGGCTCTGACCTTTGCCCCCATGGTCGCCTGGTCTGAGCAGAGGCGCACCCGGCAGGCTGGCGCCCAGTGCCCGCGGTCAGGCCTCACGGACCGCAGTGCTGTCTGGCCCTGTGTGGTGTCTGCACACGCGGCTGCCTGGCTGGAAATCTGTTGCTCCCTCTGCACACTCTGGACTTGGACTGTGAGGAAGGAGGCGGCGTAAATCCCAGAGCTGAGGATTGAAGGGGGCCCCGTCCGGTGTTTTCCCCCAGGCCTGGGCTCCAAGGTGTCCCCACGTGTCTGCCCAGGTGGGGCTTCGTGCCGGCCTGGGGTCCAGGGCCTCTGCCAGAGGAAGCCTGCGCTGTGAGCGCAGCTTCTAGCGCAGTCACATCAGGCACCGGCTCCTAGCGCGGGGCGCCATCTCCAGCGGGTCAGGTGAGCTTGCAGACCAGGGGCCGGGCCAGGCCGGGCCAGGGAAAGCACCAGGACACAGGGCCTGGGCCAGTTAGTCTCTCCCAACGCCCAGCCCGTGCGCAATGTGGCGTTTCCCTGCCAGACAAGCCCCAGTACCACCGCCTGCTTCCGGGAACCGTGGACCTGTGACAGCCTCCCACCCTGATTAAGGCCGGGGCCTCTCCACGCTTTCCTGGTGTGGGAGCTTGGCTGCCTTGGCCAAAGCAGACTGGCACTCAGACTTGGCCCTCAGGAGCTGGGTAAGGTCTGTGGCCTAAGGGAGAGCGTACAGACAGCCCACGCTGTTTCTGGGGGCCCTGGAACGCTGTCAGGACCCTGTCTGTCTCTGCCTACCCTTCCCTGGAGGGACCTGTGCCCTTGATTCTTGCCTTTGTGAGCAGCACCTGGAGACAGGAAAACAAAACAAACCCGCCCCCTCCAGGTTGCTTCCCGGGTCATTGGGTCCCTTTTAGCCCTCCGTGGACGTGAGGCCGCCTCACCCGCTCTGCTCTCCAGGCAACCGTACATTTACGCATCTCTTAAGTGCCCCAGGGAAGGTTTTGGACCCATTTTACAGATAAAGAACTGAGGCTCAGAGAGCCCCTAACTTGTCAGAAGCAAAGCTGGGAGGTCGGTGACCCAAGAACACCCTTGCCCCCAGCGTTACGTCTTCTCCCAAGCAGGCGTGAGTTCCCCGAGGTCAGGCCGGTGCAGCAGCAGCAGTGAAGGAGCCGTGGGGCCCGCGTGCAGCGCCTGCAGTTCCGAGCAGAGCCCAGGACCTCTAGCAGGGCACACCGGCTGTGAGCTGCTGCGCCTGCGCAATGCTGGGCGCGGGCGTCAGCGTGGCTTTGGTTCTGTGGTCACTGTCATCTACGTGCGGCGTGGCCCGGGAACCTAGTCCGAGTTTAGAGCAAAGCTTCCGTGGGAAAGGCCGCGGGCGATGCAGACTCCCCATTCAGGCTAGATGCTAAGTGACCCCTGCTTTCCAAGGGGCCCTGATCGCTAAGAACCTCGCGAACAGCGTCCTGTGGCTTCCTCTAGCACACAGATGAGGCAGCGCGCTAACCTGACCTTGGCCATCCGCCTGGAAAGGGAGGGAAAACCCAGTAAAGCTGCAGCCAGGATCCAGCCGTTTTCAGGCTAAGCCACCAACGTAGGGCCGGCGGGACCTGCTGCGGGTCGGGGCACGCGGCGGAGGACGGCAGCTTAGGTGTGCTACCAGGCACCCGTCTCTTGGCAACATCCCCACACCCGCCCGCCTGCCCCTCCCTGGCCAGCGCCGCACCTGCCGCCTTACAGACCTGGCCGCGAGACCGCAAGGCCTCATCTTCCTGCCGTTTCTCAGGTGGGCAGATTGAAAACCCGCGCCTTCCGCGGAAGGAACACCGGGCCCGGAAGGGTGAGGGGCCTGGCCCCGGTCTACCCCTGCGGGGAGCTTGTTCCGAAGGTGGGACATCGAGGCCAAGGCTCTGCAGTCCACGCGTGTGCCGGGGCCAGCAGGTACACCTGCCTGTCGGGGGTAATGGCTCCATTATCAGAGCACTTAGACGGGGTCACTGCTTTTCTCTCCCCGCCGCGCCCATGCTTGCCTTCTACGAAACGGGTGGGAAACACTGGTGAGCGCACGTGGAGCTTTCGGGACGGCCGAGCAGTCGCTCCCAGGACGCGTGTGCCCCTCCCCGGCCGAGGTCCTTGCGCGGGGACCACACGGTGGCCGCGAGCCAGCGTGCCCGTCCCGTGCCCCGCTCCGGGTCCCCACGGTACTGGAAGCCCGTGGGCGCGCTGGGCCGGAGGACAGGGTTGCAGTGACAGAACCACGCGCGTGTCGTCGGAGCAGCGGGTCCTTTACTCGCATTTGACCGCTGCACAAAACCACACCGCGCGCGAGGCAGGCACCACCCCGGGGGGCGAAGCCGCGCGCTCCCGGGCTCGGGCTCAGCGCCACCTGCGCGG